ACCTTAAGTGTAAAAATAAATTGATTTATTTGGGCCAACTGTATGGTCTTAAACACCCAAAAGGAAAGTATAACCAAAGAGTAAAGTCACCAGTATATTTCTTTAAGAGTTCAAGGGATCACACTTCCTAGACATTAGGCTTAAGTCCATATAAAAAGTTATTTAGACAATTATTTCTCATTGATGATTTTGTTCCTAACTAGACAGTGCTGCTCAGATAAAAGACTTCAAATCTTGGTCTCCAATACTGCAGTGCCCACCTGTAGCTAAGGGAGACAACCCACTATTGTTCTAAGATGATGGATAAGTTTGTTTTCTCCAACTATCTAGAAACCTTTGAGAGGGAACTAACACTGATTCTAACTACTCCAACAGCTATCAAAATACCTGAAAGCAAATCCTGAATCCATCACTCTGGAATCTAGCCTTGGCAGACAAAAGAAAAGTGAGGAGGAAGCCAATAGAGGGATGCTTTTGGAGGCCCTTGTCAAGAAATTCCAGTGGGTTCTCATATGGACATTTGAAAATTGCTCTGTTCTGACTTCTTTTTAGTTCCCTGTTTAGAACTTATAATGCTAATTACTCTTGCCTTTACTTCTCCTTCACATCTCCTATTCATGATTCAAGGACTTTCTTTTCCACCTAGAGATAAGAGTTATGCAATTTGGGAGTCTTTTAGATAGACCCACTGAAGGGGTAGCCCCGCCTCACCCTGCATCCCTGTTCAGCATGGAAGTAGCCAGAGCAGTCTGAGTCCTGATTCCCTACTGACAATTTGGGTAACTTCTTCAGAGGATGGTGTGATAAGAATAGGAGGTAGGAATTGGCTAGGCAGTTAGGGTAAAAAGACCCCAAAGAAAAGTAGCCAATTTCTTGGCTAAAACTCACAGTGTCCTTAGCAACATACTCCATAGCAACATACTCCATTCCAAAAGCCAAAAATGTCTAAAATATTTGGGAGCTTGTATATAATCTTCAAAAGATTTTAGGGTTATCTCTTCAGAGGGGGAATGTTAGAGTAGCCAAAGGCACCATAAAAATAAATAAGGGGGTGGAGACATTGCTCAGTGGTTAAGAACACTGGTTGTTCTTGCAGAAGATCCGGGTTTGAATCCCAGCACCCACATGGCAGCTAACAACTGTCTGTAACTCCAGTCCCAGTGGATCTGACAGCCTCTTCTGATGTCTTAGGACACTGAAGGACACAGGTTTACTTACCTACATGCAGGCAAGACACACACACACACACACACACACACACACAAAATTTAAAAAATAAATAAATAAATAAATTTTTTTGATCTTTTTGAGACAGGGTCTCCCTGTAGCCCCAGCTGTCCTGGAACTCACTATGTAGACCAGGGTTGCCTTGAACTCAGAGTTCTGCCTGCCTCTGCCTCCCAAGTGCTGGAATTAAAGGTATACACCACCATGCCCGGCTATAAATAAAAAATTTTTTAAATTAAAAAATAAATAAATCAAAGAAGAAGAAAGAGTACATGAAGTTATCAGAAAAAAGTGATGGAGAGATATTGGGAGGAGTTGGAAGGGAGGGAGTGGGATGGATTTGATCAAAACACCTTATATGCATGTATGAAATTCTCAATAAATTATTTTTTAAAAAAGTATTATTGACCATAGGAAATGATAATCATTGACTGTAGAGGTAGTTCAGTGATTGGGAGCCTACTGATTTTACAAAGAACAGTAGTTGTATCCCTAACTCTCATCTCAGTCATCAAATGGTTCACAACTCTCTGTAATTCCAGCTCCAGGGGACCTTTTGTGGAAAATCTTGTGACTGATTTTGCCTTTTGCTTTACATACCTATCATGCTGGAATACAGTGCTTCCTGTTTCTTATCAGAGAGAAAACTATGTAAGTCACGTGGTTTCCAGGAATCCGAAACTTAGAGAAACTGAAACTTATCGTGCTAATAGGGCTTCTGGCCCGCTATTGTAATAGGATACTAGTCTGCCATGCTAATAAGGGATCCCATATGCTGTGTAATGATTGGACCATTACCCATATATAAGCCCCTATTTTCCTGCAGTAAAGCAGATCTGTGTCACTGAACCTGGTCTCCTGCGTCTGAATGCAGCAATGCTGGCACAGACTCCTCACCAGCCCTGGGGTCCGGCCTGGATGACTGATTGGAGGAGCTGAGAAAGCAGGAGAGTGACCATAGCCAGAGGAGAGCAGCCACAGCCAGCGACCACAGGTACCCAATGGCATTTTTTGTATTCTGTATGTGTCAATGCCCATATACAGCCACTCACTAACACACATAATTAAAACCAAAGATAAAGAGTAATCATCTAGAGATATTTTGTTTTTTGCATAAAGGTGTAAGGAGCCTGAGCCAAAATGATGAGTGCTTTTGAGATGGCAGAGATTGAACTTTTAAATATGATAAAATCTTTTGAGTTAATATTTTGGTATATGAAATATTTTATATAGCCTAAACAAGTGTTATTTTGTTATTATTTTCCAACTCTGACGGCATGCGTATCAATACATATCTGGCTAAATTCCTTCTGAAAACAATGTCACTTAGCAGTTCACTATCATCTTCATAGTTAATAAAATGCAAATGCTTTAGTGGCAGTATAGTTAAAAAAAAAAAAAAGGTCAGTCCTACAGTACTGTACAGGTGCATTTACTTTTCCTACACACTTTTGTTTCCTCTGGAGTCATCACTGTGGGCTTAGTTGCTGCTTATTTTTTTCTGTGTCCCCTTTATTAATTCACCCCCATAGTCTCTGCTTGAAGTAGAAATATACGCATCATATTTTATTCACCTATTTTGCTATCAACATAACCTCAGTGTATGGGGGCATCCTTGCCACCACCTACAAACAGTAAGAAGTGAGGAATGTAATGGCTGACTCTGTTCAAGAGTCCTCAAAGAGCCATGGTCTCTGGCTTTGCACAGGAGTCATATAGCCTTAATTTCACCCTCAGCAAGTACCTAATGTACATATACTTCATGTGTGCCAGAGGGATATTATAGAATGAGGCTTACTTGGGGTCCAGACTGAGGCCAGGGCAGACAGAAGTAGATTGGGGAAGAGGAAAGGGCTCAAACAAGAAAGAGGGAATGCATTGACTCCTACCTGACACACTTCCTTCTCTTTGCTAAGATGGTCCCAGAAGTTGGTCACCACAAAGGCTCCATAGGCCCCTTTTAAGGCTGCTTCCACAGATGCTGCATCATCTAGGTCACACCTGGCAATCTCAGCACCAAGGTCCTGTAGTGCTAGGGCCTTCTTTCGAGTCACGTCCCTGGTCAGGGCTCTCACTGCAAAATATTTGTTCTCCAGAATGGCCTTGGCCACTGAGCCACCCTGAGCCCCTGCAAGGTCAAGAGAAGAAATACAAGGTCAGGAAAAATGCAGGCACACTGGAAGTGGATGTAGCTCAGTAGTTCTCACTTCTGTAGCACCACAAAGGATTTCAGTGTCCCCACGACTTTTAAGCTATTTAGACTACCTTTGCAGAAGAAGCCTTGGAAGGTAGAGGAGTAGGAGAGGCTGCAAGGGAGAAGGCCAGGTGACCAGGTACAAGACCCTACAGATTCAACAAGGGCAGTACTATTATGCAGATGTAATATTAGGGTTTCAAACAGCAGCAGCTCCCCCTGCTCCCCAACAGGGACCCATGGACTTTGGATTTTCAAGCCTGAAAAAGGGAACTGAGCTGATAAGCACCTTGGCCTTTGAAGTCAAGGGAAGAAGATTCTTCTAAGAGGCAGCCTGCCTTCCTCTGATCTCCAAAGACAAGATAAGCTGATTCTGCCTGTTAACCAGAGATTTTAGGAGCTGTTTAGCACAGCAGCTTTTCCCTTATCTTAGGACAAAAAAGTAAACACTTCCTGACCTAGATCCTGGCTGGCAGACGGAACGGAGCCAGGTTTACAAGCCCTGCTTTTCCTGCTCCCCCCCCGCTTGATTTTTCCCAAAAAACTCCCCCTTTCTGCACTCTGAAGGCCCCATATATAAGCCCCAGCTCACAATCCATGGGCTGACATTTTCCCTTCCCCAGGGGAACGTGTCCCATTTGCTCGTTCTCCCGCAAATTTGTACCTATCATGTACGTGTTACACTGGGGTTTTTCAAAACAGGTTCCTGTCTCTCTCTCCCCCCCCCCCAATTTACTTTTTCTTTTTTTGGACTTTTTGAGACAGGGTCTCCCTATAGCCCCAACTGGCCTGGAACTCACTATGTAGACCAGGCTGGCCTTGAACTCAAAGAGATCCACCTGCCTCTGCCTCCCAAGTGCTGGGACTAAAGGCATGCACCACCATGCCCAGTTCCAGGCTTTGTTTATACTTATAAAACACTTTGAAAAGTTTCACCTTTTTTGTTTGTTTTCTGTTTTTTGAGACAGGATCTCACTATGCTGCCCTGGGTGGCCTGGAACTCAGAGAGATCCACGTCCCTCTGCCTCTGCCTCTGTGCTGGAATTAAAGGTGTGCACCACCACACCCAACTCTTGCACAAGGTTTTTGTTTTGTTTTATTTTGTTTTTTTTATATTGTTTATGACCAATGGTAATGATCCTCTGCCTAATTTATGTTCCCTGTGAATATTTACTGAACACCCTGTGATATATTCCACGTACTCTTCTGGGTTACTGACATTTGGGTTCATCCATCAAACTGACTATCTATCCTGGAGATTTCTTTACATCTGTAGACCTTTATGCACTCTTCCAATTGGTTCTCTCTCCCCCATTCTGAAGCTAGGCAATGGGAGTATGGTGGGATCTCCTTCTAGGCCAAGAGACAGGAAAACAAAGAACAAAGAATCGAGTAGTCTACCCATCAGCACCAATGTAGACATGTGCAGACTTGTCCCATTCCTGCAGTTTTTTTTTTATTTTTATTTTATGTGTACTGTTAGAGTAGCAAAAAAGTCCCACAAGATTAGCTGGTCAAACACTGGGTGTGGTGGCACTTGCCTTTAATTGCTGTCCTCAGGAGGCAGAAGCAGAGGGATCTCAGTGAGACTGAGGCCAGCCTGGTTCACATAGTGAGCTCCTGGGACTAGGGAGATTCTGTTTAAAAAAAAAAAAAAGGTTAGCTAAGTCAAGACTATAAAATCTCTAGGGTGGATAAAGTCCCACCTTTCCAGTTTCACTGGTCAATCACTTGGTCACCTGGTCATAGGACCACCCCTAGGAATATAGGTTCACCTTAAGTCATCCTAAAGAGATTGGTGAAACATCTAGTGCATTAACGAGATGGTGAACTTTTCTTGCTTGGAATCCCTGCCTCCTGGTGTAGTTCTTGTCGATCTCAGTCACAGAGCTGTGGCTCTCAGTGAGTCTGAATTTTTCAGAAAAGTGTAATCTCCCTCTTCTTCTTCATATCCCTTTTCTAAGCATGCTTTCCCTAACACTTTGGGCTACCCCAGTATCTTGTATTTCTTCACTTTTTCTTTAAAGTTTCCTTCTCCCCACCATGTGGCTGCTAGTCTGCCATATGTCTGACTTCCATGCAGGCTCTAAACCTTCATGGCTTCATGACTTTTCCCTCCTTTCCTCCATTCTCCTCCTCAAGGCAGCTACTGCAATCCTCAGCTTGCCTTCCCTGAAGATTTTTCTTTTTTAAAAAAATTTTCATTTGGAGACTGGAGAGATGGCTCAGCAGTTAAGAACACTTGTTGTTCTTACAGAAGACCCAGGTTCGAATCCCAGCATCCATATGGCAGCTAACAACTTATGGGCTTGCAGGGATCTTGGAGCGCCAGCTGCTGGGCGTGGGGCCGCTGCTGGGGTGCGGCAGGTCACACACCAAGTTGCTGAGACTCTCCACGGCTACTGGGGCTGGCAGCTCTAGAGGACCGCTGTCAGCTGCCCGGGCGGTTCCGTTCCAAACCACCGTGCACTCCCTCGAGATACGAAATCCGCCGGCCACCGGATCACGTGGGGATGTGCGGGAACGGCGAAAGCAGGACCTTCGTGAGTCATTGTTTACGAAGAGACAGCCCTCTCTGGAGAGATGCAGGATTCAGACACAGCTCTGATACAACTCTGATTTATTAAGGGGAAACCAGGATACTTATACTGTGGGGGTAGTGGCAAAGCCTTAGTTGGTAGGTGCTTTTAGGATGCCTCATTTACATGTGGTGGTGGGCTCCTGCCAGGCTGTCAGACAGTGCCTGAAAATCACACAGGAAAACCTGGCAGTTTCAGAGCCAGAGGCCATGTTTCTGTGACAGCTACTTCAAAGATGAGTCAGGAAGAGAGTAGGAAGGCACCCTGCTGATAAAAGGAGTCTCTGCATATGAATGCCGAGCCCCATGGGCTATCCGGACATGGAGAGACTGCTACCTTACACAGCAGGAGTCCCCAACAACAACTGTCCATAACTCCAGTCCCAGGGGATCTGACAGCCTCTTCTGACCTCCAAGACACGGGTGCACTTACCTACACGCAGGCAATACATGCATACACATAAAATAAAAATTAAAAAAATTTTTTTCATTTATTATTTTTATTTTTGTATGAGTGTATTGCTTCTATGAATATAAGTGCAATGCATGCAGAGGTCAGAAGAGGGCACTGGATCCCCTGGAACTGGAGTTCTTGACAGTTGTTAGCCACTTTGTGGGCACTGGGACTCAAACCCAGGTCCTCTGCAAGAGCAGCCAGTGCTCCTAACTGCTGAGCCATCTCTCTAGCCCCAAGATTTTTCTTTAAATTCTAAAAAAAATGACCTAAAGCTTCCATTTGAGCCCATTCATAAATCGTTTTATAAATGAGACAAAGAACCCTCTCCAGGATGCTGTTTCTTCCCAGTATCTGTATGAGTATTTTGTCTGCACGTATCTAAGTGGTCTTATGCATGCAATACCTTCCGAGACCAGAAAAGCACATCAGATCCCCTGGAACTGGAGTTTTGAATAGTTGTTAGCAGTCATGTGGGTGCTGGGAACTGAACCTAGGTCCTCTGAAAGAGCAGCCAGCAACTTCTGATCCATCCCTCCAGCCCCATATTCTCCTACTCTTTTTTCGGGGGGAGGTCTTTATTTTTTTGTCTTTTTGAGACAAGGTCTCCCTGTAGTCCCAGCTGACCTGAACTCACTATGTAGACCAGGGTGGCCTTGAACTCACAAAGATCCACCTGCCTCTGCCTCCCAAGTGCTGGGACTAAAGATGTGTGCCACCACGCCCAGCCATTTGAGACAGGGTCTCCCTGTAGCCCCAGCTGTCCCGGAACTCACTATGTGGACCAGGATGGCCTTGAATTCACAGAGATCCACCTGCCTCTGCCTCCCAAGTGCTGGGATTAAAGGCATGCACCACCATGCCCGGCACATACTCCTTTTTAAAAAAAATATTTTACTTATTTTGATTTTATATGTATGAGTATTGCCTGCACACTCATGTTGTGTAGTGCCTTGGAGGTCAGAAGAGGGCATCAAATTTCCCTGGAACTTTAACCGATGAGCCATCAATCCAACCCCACATTCCTGTACTCTTAATGTCAGTACCCTGTAGCCTTAGAGTAACCAATGAGAATATGTCTTACCATGTAAGGAAGATGAAGGGGTAGAATGATATAAAGGAAAAACCTTACTATGATGGGAGTCTGACTTTGAACGGGAATCCTCTGAGTCATTGCTAGCTGGAATAAACTGCTCATGGAAGACTAGACCTCTCCTGCAACAGGGGTGGGGGGAGTGGGGGTGGTTAAGCACAAGAAGTGAGGTGAACACCTTCATATCACCACTGTCTGGAGGTTTTTATCTCTCTTGCCCTTTTCTTTCTTCTGAAAGAAGTTGCTTATTCCTTACTTATTCCTTAGTGCTTGCTTTCCTGACCAGGTTTTGTAAGTTTGGGTGGGAGATTGTTTTTGTTTGGCTGGTTGGCTTGTTTGAGAGAGGGTCTTGCTATGTGGCCCTGACACTCACTATGTAGCCAATCTGGCCTTGAATTTGCAGTACTCCTCCTGCCTCAGTCTCCTGAGTGCTCAAATTACAGGCTGGTGCTACTATGCCCAGGTTGTTTGGGGCTTTCAATTTTCCTTTGAGACAGGGTCTCTTGTAGCCCAGGATAGCCTTGCACTCAACATAGTGCTGATCTTGAGCACTAGATCTTCTTGCCTCTACCCCCCAAGCACTGAAATGATGGTTGTAAGCCACCACGCCCTCCTGAAACTGAGCCCTGAGTATGCTAATGACCTATGCTAGGCTCAACTAACCATAGCCCAGATGTAATTGTATTGGATGCAAAACTTTCTCCAATCCTGGACAGTGTTCTTAGTTTTTTTTTCTTCCCTTCCTTTCCCTACACTATTTCTCCTCCTTTTTCTCAGTTTTTTGTTTTTGTTTTTGTTTTTGTTTTTGG